TTTTTTTTTGTTTCTAAGAAAATTAATATCCGCCTTGTTGTTGTTGAAATATAAAAACGGTGGAACAATTAATTTTGCAGTCTCTTTATGTGTTTTAAGTTTTTACCGTATATGCACAATACTGCAGTGATGTTGCGGAGCACAAGGTGTCACTATAAGGAAAATTGTACAGAGCTGTTGTCGTCATCACCACCACATCCGAGCCTCAATTTAGTCATTTCGTGAAATGGTCTTGATCATTAGATTCGCTCTTCAGCGTCCCCGATGCAGTGTTTCAAGTAAAACACCGTTTGCAAAGGACTAACTGGGATTACTGCTTCTTTATCATCCAACGATAGATTTTGGCTGCAGCATTTCTTATATTCTTGTATTACGATGGGACAAAGAGAGCACCAGCCGTGGATCAAGCGATGGAGATGCGTCTCCTTCGTTCTGGCTTTGGGCATGTGCTGGAGTCAGGTCGTGGCTCAGATCAGATATACCATCTCTGAAGAGGTGAAAGAGGGGAGTGTTGTTGGAAACATTGCAAAGGATTTGGGAATTGATAAAACTGCGTTAAAGAACAGAGATTATCGCATTGTTGGCAGCTCGTTGGAACCCCTTTTTCACGTGAATCGTGACGACGGTATCCTTTATGTCAGTAGGAGAGTGGACAGAGAGGAAATTTGTGAACGAAGTAACGCTTGTAAAATAAACCTTAAAACCGTGCTTGAAAATCCTCTAGAAATCCATTATATAGTCATAGAGGTGCTGGACGTAAACGACAATTCACCCAGCTTCCCAGAGCAAGAGAAACGACTCGACATATTTGAATCGACTTTACCAGGAGCAAAATTTCAGCTCCAGCCTGCACGTGACCCAGATGGCAGTCAGTTTTCGGTGCAGCAGTATAAACTAAGTCCTAATGACTACTTTCGTTTGGAAGTTAAGGAGAGGGGAGAAGACCGCAAGATGCCGTTTCTGGTATTACAAAAACAGTTAGATAGAGAAGCCATGAAAGAACACAGACTTCTGCTTACAGCTGTAGATGGTGGGCGGCCGGCAAAGACAGGGACCGCAACGATACTGATTGAGGCACTGGACGTTAATGACAATCCACCAGTTTTTACGAAGGACACTTATTCAGTCATGTTAACGGAAAACGCAGCCCATGGTACGCTTGTTGTTCAGATCAATGCCACGGATTCGGATGAGGGCTCAAACGGTGAAATTGTTTATTCATTTGGAAAAGAAATGGATGTCAGTTTGTCTAAGCTGTTCAGTATAGACTCGGTGACAGGGGAAATTAAAGTGACCGGTGAAATTGACTTTGAAGAAAATTCAATATTTGAAATTGACGTTCAGGCATCGGATAAAGGTAATATTCCTCTATCTACAGACAAAACAGTCACTATAAAAGTAGTAGACGTTAACGACAACAACCCCGAAATTGAAGTGACATCTTTTTCAAAATCAGTTCCAGAAGACTGTCCAACCGGGACAACTGTAGCTTTAATCAGTGTAAATGACTTAGATTCTGGCTCGAATGGAAAAGTTTCGTCTTTCATCCGCGAAAATGTTCCTTTCGCCTTATTGCCAACTTTACAGGATAATATGTATGCCGTAGTGACCAACTCACTTCTGGACAGAGAAGAGACATCTATGTATGAACTAACTGTTGTTGTAAAGGACGAAGGTGTGCCATCCCTCTCGTCTGAAAAATTAATTACAGTGGTTGTATCGGATGTGAACGACAACAAACCTCAGTTTTCAGTGAGTCCCTATACATTTTACATTACTGAAAATAATGACCTTGCATTGCCTTTATTCTCAGTTAGAGCGTCTGATCCTGATGAAAGTGAAAATGCGCATATTCTATACCACATTCCACGAGATGGTGGTAGTAATGGAATGTTTTTTAATATTAACTCTGAAACCGGAGATATTATGTCTCTGAAAAGTTTCGATTTTGAGACTCTGAAAACGTTCCAGTTCCACGT